TTACCGATGATTAATTTGTATAAAAGCCAGGAGTCTCCCCAGCTTAATTTTTTGTTCTTTGAAATTTTAGGATATTTCAGATGGTAGGGAGGTTGGAAGATGAACTCAGATAATAGACTCTTTGACCGAAGATTCGCTTATTTTTTCCTTTTTACTCCACCCGTCTTTCTTCCTAAGATGAGGATGAAACTTTACTGAAGAATCAGGATAACAGAGTGTGGATCTAGTCCATTTCTAAGAATGTCTGGCCAGCAGCTAATTGTGATTTTAAATATATGAAAAAGCTGTTTGCTAAGCCTGGCAAAATTCTGTCCCTGATCACCTGGTTTAGCCCTAAACTTAGAGTACCAGTCGGAGCCAGATAGCTGCACACGGCATCTAGATGTCACATGTTTAGGGAACACAGTTCAGAAGGATGCATTTAATACATGAGTTCCCCATGTTAGGAGGACTGTTAAATGATTGTTTGGTCAGTAATCCATATAATTTCAGAAGATGAAAATTATTTTCTTGTATTTCTTTTTAATAGAACTAATATGGGAATGTTTTGCTGTGTTCCCTAAATCTCCCCCAAATAATGGTAAATGTGATACTCATTCTAGCAGGAGCCGGAAGACAAAGCCTGGTATAAGAAACACTGGGTATATACCTGCTTTGAAGGAGTGAGGAATTTTTTCCTGTGTATTATGGAATCGTAAATGCAGCCAGACCTCTTGGCATGTTCTCTACCCTGTGGTATGAAATCAGACAGAGGAAATATTCCACTTTCTGAGCTATTGACACAAAAGATGGCTGTTAGGCCTAGCTAATATCACCCTCCTTGAGACAAAGCTGGTTAAGTATTTTCAAGTCTGGAAGAGAGGCTCAATTTTTTAGAATTGTCACTGAGGACACCCTGAGTTGCTCTCTATGTATAGTATTTGTCTTCTCTTACTTAAAAGAAGGAACCAAGCCAGATAATACTTTCGGTATACATGTGGTTTTGAAGGTTGCATAGCATTGTGATCGTTAGTTTAAACTTTGAACTTGATTGGTCTTGGGTCAGAATTCCAGCTCTGTCTCTTGTAAAACTTGTCATTTTCTGCCTTTTAGTTAATTTTTAATGTCTATGTCTCTACTCATAAAATCAGAACAGTATTAGTCCTTACTTCAAAGGCTTCTTGTGAGAATTAAGTGGGATAATTCACGTTAAGGACATTAGCCTGGTGCCAACTAGTCTTTTAAGGATTAGCATTATTATCCCTATCCCATGACTTCTTCCATTTTTAGATGTTAGATATCACATGCATTTTAAACTCACTTTTTGTCCATAAACTAACATTGTTACCTGTCAAAGGCACCTGCCATGTGGATCCTTGTATCACAATGGGGGAGGTGAGGCTCAAGGTAAGATCACTGAATTGAGCACATCAGCCAACCTAAGATTCCAACTGTTTTGAAAAAACAATTCCTTCCTTACCTAGTTGTCCTTGCCTTTTAATTTTGCAAATAAGTTTTAAGATTGTAACTCTTTATATTTACCTTTTTCTCTGACGCCGAATTTTCCCTACCCCTCCTCCTCTGAAGACACGATTCCCTCAGGTTTTAATACTGGCAGTGTTTTTCCACTTTGCTAAAGAATTCAGAGCACCAGGGGAATGTCGTCTTCTCAGGCAATTCATTCTGTACAACAGTGTCAGTTATGTACTGCCCTGGTTAGTGCCTTACAAACAAGAGCACGTCTTGAAAGCCATCACTTACTGTATGATTCCCACATAGTTTTCGATCTCTGTCAGGGGAGCCTTCCTCCAGTTTTTTTTGTATCCAATCACCAGAGTGTTTGGTTTCATTCGTCCTAAGCCCGAGGCCTAAACAGAGGAGATAAACACATGGGCAACTATTACCAGACCAGGAAGCTACCTCTGCAAATGAAAAATAATGTCCAAAAGAGCACTGAAGTAATGTTCTGAAGATTAGATTACATTTTAGTGCATGTCCTTCATGCCCGTACCCAAGCATAAAATAGAAAGATTAGTTCTAAATCATCTCAGCCATAAATGGATTTTAGATGACAGAAATGTAGCTTTTCTAAATTAGCAGTCATTTGCATTTCTTCTGATACACTCATTAAAATGGTTCAATAATTTAAAATCAAGTGAGGGTTGGCTTAACTGTTGGCATGCGTGCTGTAACTTGGTGGTTCAAAGCTCATTTCCACCTGCTATATCCATAATGTCATTAGCAATAAAATCCATGTTTGGAAAATTCCTATATAGAAGAACCACTGAAACTTCTACTTACATTATTTATTGAAGAATAACTGAGCTATGTTTCCAGAATCTAATCCTCTTACACGACAGTATCATTAATAGCCATCTTCCATACCAGAAGTTTCATTCCCCCCATTAGGTGACAGGATATGGCTTCCAGCTAATTAAATTTAATCGGGCAATATTACTGAGCACCTATTCATTGCAAAGTGCTATGTTAGGTGCTGTGAGAGAGTAGTGAGACACATTCTTTGGCCTGAAGGAGTTTCGAGTAAGATTGAGGTGACAGATACATACAAATAATTATTATTAATGTGCAAATGCAGTAAGAAATCATATGGAAGTGTAAGGGAAAACATTTTGAATGGTATCTTGGGAGAGCTGACGTTTGTTTTGGATCTGGCAGTTTCGTTAGATGTTGCCAAGTAAAAGTAAGAGGAACAGCAGAAGTGAAGGAAGGATATTCTGGGTCATGGGAATAGTGACACAGGTGACAAAAGTGGGACATTGAAGTGACAGTAGCAAGTGTAAAAGAGATAGGTATTGATAGAGGGTTCCTGAAATAAGCTTTGCCTCCACCTCATTTTGTGTGTTGTCCTTAGAAATGTACAGGTAGCCGAATAGCTCCTTAGAGCTGTCATCTGACCCTTGGCAGATACATGGCAGTATGGATGTAGTGTTTTCCATGACTACGATTTGAGGATGTGGCCGTTCATATCATAATTTTTTAGATGCAAAGAAGGTTTTATTCAAAATGGTATAGTTGTCAGTGCTTCCCTTTAATACTGTTCTGTCCTGCCCTTTTTGACATGACCTCTCTTACTCCCATTCTTCTCTGAAGAAATTCATGTCAAGTTTTTTTTTTTTTTTTTTTACAATTTCTTCTGGATTAATAGGTGAATTGTTTTACATGCCAATGTCTTCCCTCTTCATGTTCTTATTCTGTATTTGTTGTCTCATTCCTAGTTGAGATTCTTATTATTTTACTAACCTTCCATGATAATTTTACATTAAATGTGTAACCTTCCCAACCCATTTAACCAAAGAACTACTGAAAAATAACTTGCTACTGAAAGGAAAATCAGCATCTTGCAATGACATCTATTTCCATGATTTATCAAATTAGTAACAGAGGCTCGTTGGTATTCAGAAGAAGGTAATAGGTTTTTCAGAAATGGTTTCTCTACATGTAAAGCTACTTTGTTCTTTGGGGATACTAGAGACAGGAATGCATCAAAAACTCTTATTCTCCCAAATATTACAATTTAATCCATGTGTTTTCTTTCCGGCCTGCATAAGCCATCAGCATTAGCTGGATGCAATCCTGAATTTTGACACTCCTGTAGATGGCAATTCTGAAAGCTAAATATATCATTTAGTATATGTACAATCAGGTTTTTCCAACAATATTGAAGTCCAAAGTATTAGAAAACCAAGCCCTACAATTTCTGAGGTTCTCCTGGATTGTTTTAGAATTCTCTGGCACCTTAAATTTAGAAAATCAGAACTAGGGAAAGATTCCATATATTATAAAAGGAGAGGAGAAAAAGAAAGAATCAGGGAGAAAAGATGGAAGAACTGTGAGCTTTAGTGTTAAACCACAGAGATTATTACATTTTACTTAACATTCTGGAAATAATTAAGGAGGAGTGGGAGATTTTATGCCCAGATCACCAGACATTTATTTAGTCCAGTCTTGCAGCTGCTCTCACACCATTTGCAAAAGAAAAAAGGAAAAGAATGCCTGACTTGAGCCTTGCTATATGCAGTATGAGATGTAAAAATAGTTTGAAGTTTTAATAGGAGCTTGAATGTTGTCAACTATCAGAACAAATTTGCATTTCAATAAGTATGAGACAGAATATATGCTGCTGGCCAAAGGCAACCTCATTTTCCATTTCCAGCGTATCACTCATAGTTCACTGTAATAGAACCTCTCTGCTTCTGTTTTAGCTTTGCCTATCCCCAGGAATTCAAAATGAATTCCTTAACCATCTGTATTGATTTCTGATGCTAGTCTGCCTAACTGCAGCAGTTCCGGAGCAGTTCCATTTGGGAGCTTCATTACAATGGAGTGCTAATTGTCTTTTGCCTCTGTACTCATTCTCTCGATGCCAGCCTTACCTGAAGGAGACTTCGGACACCATCCCTGAAACAATCTGCTGCCACTGCTGCATAAAATGCCTTGATTTTGTTCTTTATAAGCCAGGCCTGCTTTTTTGCCATGCCACTGTTCATCTCTTTAACACACAGCTTGCGCGGTCCCTGTATGACACAATGAAATATTGGTTAGAAGCCCTGCTATTATACATCACACTGCTGTTATTTTCTAAAGGACAAAAATAGCCAGCAATGCTGTGTTGGGTTAAGAAATGGGAAAGAGGGGAAAACACCTCACTAAACAGGCTTCACAGACATTCAACCTTCTGGAAAGAACTTGGGCTGCTCACATTACTCACTTTCCGTGCAGAATGTCTAGATGTAGTAGCACCTGCTTAGTTAACTGCCTCATGTCAAATGAAAGAAAGAGCTGATGGCACATGAGAAAAAATACAGAAAATGTGATTGACGAGGTTCAGGATAAATACACCATCAACGTTTGACTCAATAGCAAGAGCCGGGGACTTCCTTGGTGATCCAGTGGCTAAGATTCTGCCTTCCAATGCAGGGGGCAGGTTCAGTCCCTCATTGGGAAACTAAGATCCCACATGCTGTGCGGTATGACCAATTTTTTTTTTTTTTTTTAAATAGCAAGACCCACATTTATGAATACCAAGGAAGCCTCAGCTAGAGCCCAGTTTCAAGAAACATGACAGCACTCTTGGGAGCCAAAATGTGGTGAGTTGCAAATCCTGGCAGGAACAATTACATCTTGATAATTCTATCAGGCCCATTCTTTGTTTTTTTATGTGGTGAAGACACCGTTGTATCACTTTTCTCTGTGTGATATTGACATCGTGTGTGGTCAGTCACTAGAGTCATGTCTGACTTTTTGTACTCTGTGGACTGTAGCCCACCAGGCTCCTCTGTCCATGGGAATTCTCCAGACAAGAATACTGGGATGGGTTGCCATGCCCTCCTTCAGAGGATCTTCCTGCCCCAGGAATCAAACCCGCATCTCTTAGGTCTCCTGCATTGGCAGGCAGGTTCTTTACCTTTAGCGCCACCTGGGAAGCCCAATGTAGACATATTCCTATTCACATTAACATTTGCCATTACTCAACAAAGTTAGTGAAAATAGATGTTCACATACCTATGGCACAGGAAGAACAGAAGAGATTAAGAGAGAAGGAGGCAGGTGTTGTGGTGGTAGAAGAAGCATTTTAAAATTTTAAGATCTGAGTTCTGGAAACTCATTTTAATTAAAGTTTCTGTTGTTTCTCCTTCCTTAGAGGTTCAAGCTAATTTTATTCTTTGCATGTTTCAAATCAACCCCAAGAGTATTTCTGATTATCTACCATGTGCCTGACAAGGGTACAAATCTACTATTTTCCTGAAAAATTCTTTCAGTTGATGGAAATATTTTATTGAATTGTTTTAGATTTCTTACTAACCACCTCAGATCTTGGTAAAACGCACTAAATAGAACTGAACCAGGGCTGAAGATTCTGCATTTCTAACAAACTCCCAGATGACACTGATGCTGCTGGTCCTCAGACCATTCTTGGAGTCATAGTCTTAGAAGGTCTTGGATTAGAGAGAAAAGGCTGGCTATGTATGAAAAAGATACCAGGTTTTTGATCAGATAGAACTGGGTTCATTTGGCCACTCTGGAGGTAATTAATGATGTCTGAGCTTTGATACATTATTCCAGAAACAGGGATCAAATAGCTATTCTGCAAGGTCATTTCAAATAGTCATGATAAAGTATCTGGAATGATGTCTGGAATGTAGTAAGTGCTCATCCAAAGTTGACGTTTATTATATTAAATAAGTGCTCACAATCTCAGTTAAGTCCCATACCTCAGTTCACCAGTGTTCTACAATACAGCTGAAAGAGCGCTGAACTGAGAGCAGAGTGTATGGCTCAGATCTGGCTCTGAAACTGACGAGCCGATTCCCTAGGCGTGCCATTTGTTTTCTCTGGATTTGGGCTCTACACTGGTGGCTCAGACAGTAAAGAATCTGCCTGTGATGCAGGAGACCCGAGTTTAATCCTGCATCTCTATGGGATCGTCCCAGCCCAGTGGGACGATCCCCTGGAGAAGGGAATGGCTACCCACTTCAGTATTCTTGCCTGGAGGATTTCATGGACAGAGGAGCCTGGCAGGGGATTGTCCATGGGGTTGCAAAGAGTTAGACACGACTGAATGACTAACACTTTCACTTTATTTTCACTTTTATAAGAATAAGAAAATTGTCTAGGCTATCACTGTTCAGTATGATTAGCCCTTATCCACATGTTGCTACTGGGTGTTTGAAATCTGGCTGGTCCACATAAAGATGTACTGGAAATGTAAAACATTCACTGGATTTTGAAACCTTAGTATGAAAAAAAAAAGGAATGTAAAATGTCTCATTAATGTTTTTATATACATTGAATGTTGAAATAATAATCTGGATGCCTTGCATTTACCTGTTTCTTTTTACTTTTCTTGATTGGCTACTAGAAATTTTTAAATTACATTTATGGCACATATTACATTTCTATTATATAACACTAGATGTAATTTGTGGTCACTTCCATTTTAGTATTCTATTTAAATTGTATCAGATTCTTTTTGTACTTATTTTCACTAGAATGCTTTCTAGAACATAACAACTTATCAAAGCAGTTTGGATAACTTACTTTACAATTAAATAATAAGAACCTCCAATGAAGGTGGAGAAGGTACAGAGGAAGGATAGTTATTAAACCAGAAGATCTAGCCTGAGCAAAGATATGTCATTATAAATCAAATTTTGCTCAGGATTCTGTCAATGCATTTCAACCACTAGTCCTTCTTGGGCATTCTAGACATTGGTAATTGCAAAAGAAAGAAGAAATATTTTCTTCAGGGAAGCTGAATGGTAACAATAACCATGAGATAGAAGAATAACCAACAACTAGGCAAGGTATCAGACCATCAGCATATTGAGTTGTACCACAATGAAGGATCAAATAGCTATTCTGCAAGGTCATTTCAAATAGTCATGATAAAGTATCTGGAATGATGTCTGGAATGTAGTAAGTGCTCATCCAAAGTTGACTTTTATTATATTAAATAAGTGCTCACAATCTCAGTTAAGTCCCATACCTCAGTTCACCAGTGTTCTACAATACAGCTGAAAGAGGGCTGAACTGAGAGCAGAGTGTATGGCTCAGATCTGGCTCTGAAACTGACGAGCCGATTCCCTAGGTGTGCCATTTGTTTTCTCTGGATTTGGGCTCTACACTGGTGGCTCAGACAGTAAAGAATCTGCCTGTGATGCAGGAGACCCGAGTTCAATCCTGCATCTCTATGGGATTGTCCCAGCCCAGTGGGACGATCCCCTGGAGAAGGGAATGGCTACCCACTTCAGTATTCTTGCCTGGAGGATTTCATGGACAGAGGAACCTGGCAGGGGATTGTCCATGGGGTTGCAAAGAGTTAGACACGACTGAATGACTAACACTTTCACTTTATTTTCACTTTTATAAGAATAAGAAAATTGTCTAGGCTATCACTGTTCAGTATGATTAGCCCTTATCCACATGTTGCTACTGGGTGTTTGAAATCTGGCTGGTCCACATAAAGATGTACTGGAAATGTAAAACATTCACTGGATTTTGAAACCTTAGTATGAAAAAAAAAAAGGAATGTAAAATGTCTCATTAATGTTTTTATATACATTGAATGTTGAAATAATAATCTGGATGCCTTGCATTTACCTGTTTCTTTTTACTTTTCTTGATTGGCTACTAGAAATTTTTAAATTACATTTATGGCACATATTACATTTCTATTATATAACACTAGATGTAATTTGTGGTCACTTCCATTTTAGTATTCTATTTAAATTGTATCAGATTCTTTTTGTACTTATTTTCACTAGAATGCTTTCTAGAACATAACAACTTATCAAAGCAGTTTGGATAACTTACTTTACAATTAAATAATAAGAACCTCCAATGAAGGTGGAGAAGGTACAGAGGAAGGATAGTTATTAAACCAGAAGATCTAGCCTGAGCAAAGATATGTCTTTATAAATCAAATTTTGCTCAGGATTCTGTCAATGCATTTCAACCACTAGTCCTTCTTGGGCATTCTAGACATTGGTAATTGCAAAAGAAAGAAGAAATATTTTCTTCAGGGAAGCTGAATGGTAACAATAACCATGAGATAGAAGAATAACCAACAACTAGGCAAGGTATCAGACCATCAGCATATTGAGTTGTACCACAATGACTTTGAACCTCTAAGGAAACTGGCATTTATTTAAATAAATATAGCCTAATGTATATCTAGTAGTAATACAAAAATCCAGATTAAACATTAATTGTGACAGAGAGATTTACTTTAATGCCTAAATTTTCTGTATTGAGAGTTATAAAAATATTTCATGCAGAGACTATCTTTGCTAAAAGCAATTATGATATCCTTGTAGCATACTTATTAATGTGAGGCAAGGCTATAATACAAACATAGTATGGGAAAAGTGAACTAACAAAAAGGGAAGACATGTTGGAATTTAATTTTTCAACATTCAAATACATCAATAGTCACAAAAATGGATTTTATCACCCAATTAAAATATTATAGAGATTAGCTCAGTTAGGAGTCAAAATATGAGTATATAAGTTAATTCAGGATTTGAACAAAGAAGCTGTAAAAATTTTGTATATATTATGACTTTGTCATTGATAGAGAAACGGGTAAAGGAATTCTAATTATTTAGTCTGGAGGATAAATTCATGTGACACTACTTCAAATAGATGTATATTATGAAAAAGAATTTGCAAAGGATTTCCTATATTATTGGGGTCAAATACAGGAATTTGGGTCAAATGCAGTGTTCTTTCCAACTCTTATATTTTAAAACATCAAGGGTCTTATTGCTCTGTCTTTGCTTTCATTGCCTCTCTGGTTGGAACTATGGGAAAGAAAAGTTTTCCTTTTCTGATTTGGTGGATATTTTAACTCGTCATGATCCTAGTGCCCACTTATAGGTCACTTCATCCTCCCTGTATTTTGTCATGTCATTGTTTTATTAATATCGTAACAAAGACTCAATGACTAATAAAGAATAAGTGCATCTAAAAAAAGCTTTTTTCCTTTTGATGGAGGTGAAAGTTGAGATTAAAAGGATGATGATAGAAGAAAAAATGGGAATTTTAGTTTTCCATGGTTATCTATGCTTGAACTGCCCTCCATAAGCCACAGAGTTGAAAGTTGGTTATCTTCCTTTGACAAAAGAAAAGATTCGTTGAATTCAAAGAGAGTTTTAGGTTTTATTAAGATACTTTGTAAATTTTATGAAAAAAAAGAGAAAGGTTAACGGTGAAATCTTGTTAAAAGGGGATCTACATAAGGAAGTTGGTCCAATGTTATTCCTTTCCTTCTTTACAGTGAGAAGAGAGAACAGGACAATCAGGTTTAAAGAATATAATGAGTAGGCAAACATTAGTCAAAATAGATCTACATCTTGTACACATAGGTGAAATGACTAGAAGAACACCAATCAAAATCAGATAATATTGCCTTTTCGGAGGGAGAAAGCCATAGGGCTGAGTGGCTATAAAGGGGACTTTAGCTTAATCTGTAATGGTTTATTTCATTTAAAAAGTGAGTGGAAGCATCTAAGAAAAATGTTAACTGTTGTTAGAGAAGTAGAATATGGGTGTTGTTTTACTGACTATAGTTTCATCATATGAAGTT